AGTAGAGGACTCTGTTCCCTGGGATGAGTTTGACTCCACCGTTTGCTGGACCGGACGAAGCATTCTGCAGAACATCCTCTATGACAAAGTTGAAAAGGAACGGGGATATGGAGCAGCCTTGCCGAACTCCACTGGGGACGGCTAAGGGTGGCGAAAGTTGGCCATAGGCCGTAACTTGACCAGGGGTACGACGATACAACTCTTTGAGGGTTGATACATACTTCTCAGGTACTCTATTCCTCAACAAACAGCTCCATAGTGCGGTCCTATCGACAGATTCGATGGCTGTGCCGATGTCTAAGAATACAAAGATCATTGGTCTTTGGTGGGCATGACGGTGCTCTAGCAGCTGTCGGAGGGTGAAGATTTGATCGATGCATCCACAACCGGCACGAAATTCAGCCTGCTCCTCGCCGGTCCGCTCCCCATACATGTCGATGGAGAATGACAAACGCTTTGGCAAATCAGTATGATGTTCGTGGATGTGTATTGAATTCCGCAGGTTTGTCGCCGAGAAACTCTTCTGTCAACCAGACAAACGAATACTTAATTAGGAAATCTCTGAAAAGCCATTAGAGTTGGTGGAGTGGTTCACTTGCATTCAAGTCAAGTCAGTAGTAGTTTTATGCACCCGGATAGGTAAATTTTCAGCGTTTGACATCGTATTTGTGGATGGAAATTTATAAAACCATACATGATAAACCTGAAACCACAAGAAGCTGTTTTTGTCAATGAAGTATGTAGGCGCAATTCTATCAACAAGTGAATGTGCTAGATATAGTAAAACGGAATTAGGATATCAAGAGGTAGGTGAAAATAAAAGTTTGAACCTTGAACGTGTGAATGATGTGGATGTACAAATTTTGGAAATTCGTTGTGTAATGGGTGATGAGTGACTGAGAATATTTTTGCAGTGAAATTTTCACATGTTTTTAAGTGTCTGTCTATGATAGAATTCGCTAGTTGATCACTGACGACGGCACTACATTCAGAGATGTGTTTCACAGATCTCGTCAGTAAATAAAAGTCTTTCTTCAACATACTGAGAGACATCACTGGGGAGTAATACAACCAGTGGGGTAGCACGCATGCATTCACAAACCTAACAATCAGTTTATGGGGAACGGAAAGTAAGCTCAATCGGAGTGAGAAATATGAAAGCTTTCTAACTTTACAGATTGTATTTTGAACATTTGAGTGATCATGATAAATTGTTTTCAAATGTGACGCCAAGGTATTTTACCAATACTGATTTCGGTACGGGTTCATGATTGGTAGACAAGTTGGGAAACCTATTTGCGACTGTTGAATGTGGTTTGTCGGTCAACAGGGAAGTCACAACATCTTGAGAGTTACTGAAGCCTCTTCAGGGGAGTGTACGCTTTGCAACCCCAAAACAACACCATCTGTCTATTTACAGTCAACAAATGTAGAAGAAAAAAAAAGATTGGAAAATTGTTTGATATGCACGGAGAAGAAAAATGGAGAAACTATTGGGATTTGGTGCGATTTGGTCGGATCCGGTGAGAGATGATGAACTGGTAAAGTTTCGGTTGTAAAACAGTGAATCAGTCTGGTTGGCTACTTCATGCTCCAGTCAATAGTACATTTCTGTTCCAACTGTGAGATTTTGCATTTTTCCTTTTACTTCCTTCATTATTTATTAAATAATAAATATATTATATTAAATAAATATACAAATGTCAAACATTGAGGAACGGAGCTGCGGTCATACACAAGCTGTCCGGGGGGGAAGTACAGAAATGGGGAACAGAGGCGACGGTCCCGGAGCGGTTCGAACCGGAAACTTTAAGGGTCACACTAATTTGGTGACCTAACACCACTTGGCCACTACTGACCCGTCCAAAGTTCAATCCGTATGTGGGTGAATAGATTCCACGCAACCGGTTGACATGTTTGGCATCGTTTGTTCGTTCCATGTACGATGAATTTTCGGATAGATGAACATTATCACAGATATGGTTCATCCGAACTCGGTCGTTCAGCTCAGTGATGATGCGTCACGAATTACCAGATACAAATTCGATTAACCAGAGACCTGGTTTGCAAATTAATTATCGTGCAGTCGGCAAACAGAAAACCCGTTACCTCTTATAAACCGGTTTGTTTGGGCATAAATCGGACGTGATCCCATCAGACAAATTTCAAACTGGATCGGCGATGAAAAAAATGTGAACCCTGATGGAATGCTGCATTGTGCGATCACTTCTGTTTGAAGGTCGAGAGATTATCTGTATTATTTTTTCTAGCCTGATCGGTTTACCATAATTCACTCTCCGTGCAAATTTTGTGTGTTTGTGGTTTTCTCATCGATACCAAACCGTTCGTGATGTGTAATCGAATGGTTGAACCCTAAGGAAACAAAAAGAGTTAGAAACCGCAGTTCAGGAGGAATTTAGAGGTGGGGGTGCTTGATGCTTTTGATAGCTTCTGATAGTATGATGATCAAACGAAAGTTCCGGGAAGGCCAAAATACCAGCAAGAGTCACATGTCAAAATCCGCAGTTGTGCGGAAATATGAAAATGGTTACAGACTGGATTCGCGAGAACCATCTGCGAAGAGGCAAATCGGTTTGCCATGAACGTTATTTACGCGTGCCTAGTAAGAAAAAACAGATCCAGTCAACACGTGGTTAGAACATTCGAACGTGTCAATTACTCGAACCTTGTAAAGAGGAAGATGTTGAAATCAGATTTTTTAAAAACTGCTCCGAGCGTAAGGGGTAGAAAATTTTTATGGACATGTAATTCAAGTGTATGTGCACAATATTGATGTGATTGATCGGCTTTTTAGTTCATGTCTGAAATCAAATGCTCCATTTCACTCATTTGACAATTAGAAAGCTTCCAACTCAGTCGTCCCACTGAAGGCTGGCTACCAGCGCGAAAAGATGGGTTGTGCCAGATCGTGTATATTCACAACTAGAATCAGTGGTTAAGTTGATAGTGTGATTATGCTCTACCTGTGCTGTCCCAGGTTTACGATCCCCAGTTTGGTCGATGGATTCGCTTACCGCTGTCTAGTGCTTTCGAGCTTTTTAGCTCACACCCCATCAACACGACAAATTCATTATCTGATAAAAAAATAATTTTGGCTTTTGTTGATTGATAAATTGTTTGGTTTATTGACGTAACCATCGCTTTCGGCTCGTCTTCTGATAAAGATAAAAAGGAAATAGATGGCTATCAACGTTACTTACATGCCATGATAATGGGGACAACTTTTCACTTTCATGTATCTTATGTAACACTAATAATCGGGATTGGATTTGAGATGAGTAAAATCCTGTCAATCAACAAGTGAAGAATCGGACTTGAAAGTGACGAGGTTTAAAGACACACTATGAGACAAAGGATACCCGAACTTGTGATCCAAAGGCATATATATTCCAACCAATACACAGATTTTTCGGTCATTCGTCATTCCATCTGAGCTGCCATCGGAAAATTGAAAATTATAAGACATTTAGCAAGTAACACAAAACACCTGTTTTGAAAGTGGCATAATTTTTGACCTAAATAATACTGAATTTGTCCTGATGGTCCCATAATTAACTAATCTTGGCTGAACTAAAAAATCATTGTAGCTTCCTTATCAGTTTCTACGTTGGTTAAACACTAGCCGTGGAGTATACTTGATGTTAGGTCGTGTCCTTGTCCCTCCGGCTTGGTTTGCGGGCCTTACGTCTTCAACATTTTCGGACTGCGATTTTAATACAACTTTCTCATTTGTTCTATCCATTTTAAAAAGTCCTGGATGCACCAGCAATCCATGATCGCGGCAGCGTCCAATACTGGCCGAGACTTGTCCGATTGTCTGCGTTTGTTGAATCAGTTCAGTCTGTTCGCCAGTCACACACTTGGTATCCCGGTCCAATCGCTCACGCAACCGGACCAGCCAGTGACCTCGGTGGAGGCCGAGGCGGACGCTCTAATACCATCCGTGGATGAGGAACAAACACAGGGACTGACTGGCGGAGCACTGCGTATGACAAAAGTGATCAACATGTGTCGCTGCCTGATTCGTACGCGACATTCCGATTCGCCCCAGATCGCATTCTGGCAAGATCGACTGATGGAGACGTGGGCGGATTTGACTGAACTGATTGAAACACGTTGGGCGCAATTGATTTATGCAGCTAGACGACACACCTACTTGGTTCGATGCGAGGTAAATCTGCATGGTTCATGATTAGATTTGATAAATCAATTTGATGTATATTGCTAATGGTTACTCATGAGTAGTAAATGTAATTGAACCCAAATAACTTAGAATGTACTTTAGCTCTGAGTTGATAACCATCATCCCTAATAATTCATAGCCACTTTGTTCTGTTTTACAGACTTATTTTCGATCTTTGGAATATGTATTTAGCACACACATTCAATTATCATGTGACTTGGTATCCTATCCTCAGTACGGTTAATCCATCGAATCTACTGTGATTTGAAATGTGGACGCTGGGGATCGATAATTCTCTATGCCATTTAGTTGAACTGTACGAGGTGGGCCTAAGCCACTCGTTTCCTGTCATAACTGAATAAATATATTTTTGCAGTGAAACTCACAGGCCAAACGCCCGGTGAGTTGAATAATGCACGCCGCACTGATGAGATGGAAACCGGAATCGGGTTGTGTTCGAGTGTAGGGGATCACAGGTTGAACCCAAGATTGAGGCCGAAGTTCAAATACATAAAACGAGGGCTGTAAATTTGGAAACTAGGGGAAGATTGTAGTTGGATCGGTTTAAGTTCTAAACTTGTGTTTAATTACTAAATTGTCCAGCTTTCTAAACTATCATTTAATTAAAAATTTATTCATTCTATACTACAACGTCTTTCAGGAACTGCAAGGATTCATCAAAGAGAAGGCGGCTCAACTTCCCCATGAAATTGGTCCCGACTTCAAACTCATCTGTCAACAAATTTCCCAACAGAACGCATTCGAACAAGATGTCCAAGCCATCGAGTTGCAGGTAAGTTTTTCCCACACCAACAGACATGATCTGATCTAGTTTGTTTAAATTTCGATATAGGCACTGAAGGAACACAGTAATCGACGTAATCAACAGTTTTACCACACAAAAAATAAATGTTTTTGCCACCTCCAGTTTTCGAGTTAAAGTTCATCATCTTTTTATGACTGCGGAAGCATCAGAGTTTGCTGGGAGACCATTCTCCTGTAGCCCCAAAAAGTCGTCCCATGGCCAGCAGGAATGAAAGTTTATTTCAGTAGTTCATTCCAGGAAAGAAATATTTGCAGAGATTCATGAACAGTATTAAAAGAACGCTTATCTTGTGATAGTGCCAAATTATAAACCATTATTTGTTCGGCTTAACAAACGGGATGTTTTGGACAACTGTACAAATAGAAAACAGTAATACTGTACATGATTACACACAGAGATGTTGAAATATTGTGTTCCAATGCTCTGTGAAGCTGCGATTTGGTTAATTCAACTGTGGGAGCAAGTATACTATGGAATGGGAGAGAGCATTCCATTCACACTGCACACACTCTGATCGCAACCGAGTGATGCCAGCAATCAAGGTGGCTATTATGAGTCCTCAATTGCAGTGGATGTCCCCTGAGGTGATCATTATTTTGAAATGAAGTCAATACAGAACGGCAAGAGGTGGTTTGGGTGAGGCAGTACGTGGTATGTCGTGGTTAGGTCCTCTACCCGAAGGTGACTGTACTGTGATGAGTAGATCAGCAGAGCGGCAATATTTGCAGTCTTGAGGAGTTTGTCTCATTATACAGACCTTTTCACAATTTTGTTACCTTCATGTGGATTCCATACTGGAACGACGTTTTCTGTGCGTGGCTGAATGAATACTAATAACAGGCATGAGAACAGTGCTATTTCGAACTGCTTGAAAGCACATTTAATTGTTCCAACTTTGTTTAGATCAACTGATGATGCTCTGGCACAGTGCGTGGTAAATCCTATGTCCTTCTGTACCATGATCCGATTGCAATTTATGTGCACTTATATTGATTTTCATATTGGACTCATGATGAGGTGACTGTCATGAGGTGTAGAAGAGGATAAACCAAACTTTCTTTTAACATTGTCATTAGAGTAAGAAGAAGCATTATGATCACAGGATACGTGTTGAATTCAACTTCAGTTTCGTGGTAAATTTCATCAGCTGTGTTCAAAAATACATTCGGATCACGTTTGGTTTAAAGAGTGACACGTTAAAGGACAGGCAAATACACACAGGGGAAGAGAAATCAATCGATACGAAGGTCAAAGGTCATTAATTTGAACCGGATTGGCCATTGGGACAGGGAGTGGAATCAATGCAGGGTGGTGGTGGGAGAGGAGAGGGAGGAGGACAGTGACACACCG